TTTATTTGTGGGCGGAGTTATAATTGTTTGATTTATTTAATTCACCATTACTTTGTTCAAAATAAAACTATTTAGTTATACTTTGAATTAACATTGATTATATATATGATTAAACTAACAATAATTAAAGTAAAAGCAAAGTAAGTCTGTCAAATTAGCAACGACTACATTTAAGTTACCGTTTTTTATTTAATTACAACTTGATTCTGATTATGTACGAATGCTTTTTTGAATCAACCGTCCCCAAGGGGTTAAGGAATGACCTAAATTATTTCAACCAATACAAAAACCAACATCTTTTAATAAAACAGTTTCCCATGTTCTTCCACAGAAAACTCCCTTATTTTTCTCTTTTTCGTTTTAATTTCAGCTGTGGATATCTATTTAATAAAATGTTTATTAATATTATTAATGCAAATACCTGGAACTATACGAGTTTGACCTTTTAAGGTGCAGCGTAATCAATCTTGCTAATTTACTAGCTCAAAAAGGGTTGCTAACCACTATAAGTGTAACAATTATTGCGTTTAAGCGTTTTATAACAGGTATTCTTTTAACATCAAAGAGCTAAGAGTATGTCACCTTAATTATAATGTACTAAGATCGCTCTTGCTAATGTCATGCCTGAATAAAATCTTCAATTGAAATTTGCGGTTAAAGAAAAGGTCAAAGCTACAGTGTTTGCCAAAATTAAAAATCAGCAATTTAGTCAAAACTTAAAATTATAAACCTCGTTGCATTATAAAATTCCGTTGTTTTGGATTTAGATTCGATAATTATAAGATAGTATTAATGTATTATGGAACACAAAACTATCTTGCTTCGTTAATCTAAATATAAGTAAACACTTGAAACATATTTCCCCCTCCTCTTAGAAAAGGAACCGCTCTTTGAGAAGAAGAACTGTACATAAAAATAATATATGTTTGAAGACAACTCTCTTAACCCTTTCGGGAACAAGAAATTTAGATTGAAAATTTTAGTCAGACAAGACGTATGCAAGTTCGAATTCTAAGTGAAGCGACATGCTTCATGTCTTTGTTTTTTAAAGACGAGTGGCTGTTTAACAATTTAAAGCAGGGGTTTCCAACTTGCATGATGCCGGGGGCCGCAATTAAAAATACCAGTCAAATAACGGGCCGCAACTTTATCAAAAAAAAAATCCGACTTATTAGGAATTATGGCAAAAAAAAGAAAAAAAAATTCTCGAGCATCATGCCATATTCAATTCAAAGAATTTAAATAAAACATGATTCATTACCTCCTTTATGCGTTTTAAAATTTACAAATGTAAATAATTTCGTCCGAAATGAGTGGGTTCAAAAAGTTAAAGGGGAGAATTTCTTCAAAAAAATTTCTGATACACACATGCTAAATTGAATTCACATAAAAAAAAAAAAAAAAAAAAAAAAAAAAAAAAAAAAAAAAAAAAAAAAAAAACGAAATAAAAAAGAGCAACATACACGATTATTTTTGTATTTGAATGAATATTTTCTCGAATGCAAAAAATGAGAAATAAATTTTTTGGCACCGTTGGTATGTTAAATTTCACAAAAACGAAAAAATTAGTTTTTTTTTTAAACGAAAAAAAAGTATTTTAAACCCTTATAGATTTTTTACGAAAATTGTCCGCAAAAAAATGACAACTAATATATTTTAGTTCGCGGGNAAAAAAAAAAAAAAATGCTTCGCGGTCCGGATGCAGCCAGCGGGCCGCCGTTCGTTCGTTGTAGTGGAACTAGGCGTCTAAGGTCTCGCGGCCCTTGTCAGCGAGCCTTAGGCTGAGTTCGTGCACGGATTCCCTGTTTGCGAAGCGGACACTCCACTCCTTCATCTGGGATAATGGCAGTAGGCACCTGGAATAATATCTTCAAGAAAAATTTAAAGATGGCTTGGAAGAGTAGTTGGCCCGGTGGATAGAAGTGACGTCACTATGGCTTGTTTTCTGGTAGGAGGGATATCAACAAGCTGCCAGTTGGTAACCACTGATTTAAAGTAATTAGTTTTGCATTTCTAGTGGATTGTAACATTTGTTGAATTAGTATTGCCAGTTTGCCTATGCTGCACCGGAAAGGGTTAAAACATGAATAATTCTAACAAGTTGAAACATTGTATACTAAATTTACTTACATAATTAATAAAAAGCATGGAGACATATTTATGTATAAAATTTTTAATGAACAAAATAAAATCAATAAATATAAATTAAAATCATGCACATTTATGCAGTTAGTTTTCCAATTCTAAATAAGTCCTGCATCTTTGCACATTTCATGAAATCTTGATCCGTTGTCTTGAAGTAAAGTTGAAGGATTTCCCACTTCTAGAACTGTTCCGTTTTCCATAACAACAATTCTGAAATATATTGAAAAAAAGATTTTTGCTTTGCATGAATTTTAAATGAGACAAAATTAATTTAAAACAAAAAATTAGTATATTCTTAACAAAAAATGACATTTTTGAATTAAAACGAATGAATCTAAAACAGAAATCGTCAAGAAACGAGGGAATATAGAAGTTAGAACTTTTCTCCTTTTCGATTTTATAATTTTCTCTCAAAATTTTTGCTGTAGGATATATTTCGTGCACTTACTATAAAATAGTGTATTTGTTAAAAAAAATTTCATAATATAATTTTCTAATTTTTTGTCCTATTACTTCACAAGCACAAAAAATCATGGGATTCTTTAATAACAAAATTGCTAACGCTATTACTAACACTATTTAACGACTGAAAAGCTTAAAAACTGATACTTGGATTGAAACGTGTTTAACTATAAATAGTTTTAAAAATATAAAAATCGTTATAAATAAATACAATAAATAAACACCATATTCTTTGTAAATTTTTCACCGTTTCATTTGCTTTATAAAGTGACGAAATAAGATCTTAAAAATCGAATTTTTATCAATTAAAAATGCAAGAAAATTTACTTCTATGTTAAAAAATTTTTTTAGATAGTCAAAGAAACAAGTCGAACCTATTTTGGCGAAAGCTGTAGTTTTTAAAAAAATTTATTTATCATTTCTGCGACAAATAAAAAGATTTAAGTTTCTCCATCCTAGGATTAAAATTTTTATTCATTTTTTAATATTTCTAAGAAAAATTTTAAAAAATATCAGTTAAACTTTATCCTGGGATAAAAAATCACTATTTTTTTCATTTGTTTATCATTTCTGCTACAAATAAAAAGATATCAGTTAAACACTCTCCTGAAAAGAAATTTTTTTTCTAGTACATTCCCAGAGCTAAATGGATCAGTTTTTTGCCATGATTTCAATTATATTTATTTGTTATATTTTTAATGAATCCACAATTACATAAAAATAATATGGGTAGCTTATAAAATTAATAAAATTGCGTTTTTAAAATTTTTGAAAAAAAAAGTTTAAAATTGTATTTTTAACAAAAGAGAAGATATATAAATAATAACATTATTATAAATCTTGCTGAATACATGAAAACTTCCTAAACGTCTTACGTACTTGCAAATATAATTGCATACCTGCCAACTTTTAATCCCTTCCATTATCATTTTTCCCAGTGGTATTAAAATGGAATTAAAACTTCAATTTTAAGCAAACAAATACGTTGTATTTGAGAAAACTTAAGTTGACAACCATGATAGTAACGCATATTAATATATGTGCTTAATTTTAGTAAGAATAGTGGTGATCAAAATCATCTAAAACTGAAGTATATAAAAGAAAAAATAGTATATACTTACTACCACTTTAAATATGAAAATAAAATCTTCCGGAAGATTTGGCAGGTATGTAATTGGTGTATTAAAAAGGTTAGTAAAAATGCATGTAAAAATCCATGGGTGAAAGCCCTTATATAGCAAGACGGAAAAGAGAAAAACCTGGCACGTAAAACATTTCATTCCTGCATTTTTTTCGAAAAAAATGAAATATCTGTAACTATCAAGATTTCTTTTATAATTCTGGCATATATGTAAAACTGCTTCTTTTCCAAGATAAAGTAGATATTGTTGAAAAATTTAAAAAAAAGAATAAGTAAACTCCTCCCCAAAACTAGCTATAACTGAAATGGTTTTACTACCAGCCTTTCCTCTTTTCCGTCTCGCTTTCACCCCTGAATGTATCAGCAATATATCATTCATGCATAGCTGGTTGTTTAAATGACTCGGTGGACTTTTATTTTCATAAGATTTAATTCATATCAATAAAAAAAATTCTTGAAAAATTTCAAGAATTTAAAAATGAACTATTTAAAAGTTGTTTGAAATGGGTTGAAAATAATTAAATAGATTTAGATATAATCAGTCTTCTTATCAAAGCTTTAAAATCTTATGGACCATTTAGCAAAATGGTTTTTCGTTTAGTACTTGGATAAAGGATTCTTTCTTACAAAGAAAGAAAAAAGAGATTTAATCATTGTGAAGCTTTGCAGTTTTATGTTTGCTTCCAATCAGGGAAAGCCCTAGTTTTTGGAGGCGAAGCAGTTTTATTTTCTGATTATTGGTCCTACTCTGAGTATAATTTTGCTACCAATTTTTGAAATCTCGCCCCGTAATCAACGAGTTAGCATCTGTGGAAGTTATTTAGTAAACAAAACGAATGCGTTTTTTTTTTTTTTTTTTTTTTTTTTTTTTTTTTACAATGAGAAGTAATAAAGTATACCTACTTGTCATAATCGAGTACTGTGTTCAGCCTATGGGCTATGGTAATAACAGTATTCTTTACAAATGCAGTGCGTATTGTATTTTGAATGAGATTGTCTGTTTCTATGTCAACAGAGGCTGTCGCTTCATCCAAAACCAAGATCTTCGTATTCTTCAATAGCGCTCGAGCTAAACACACCAATTGTTTCTGTCCAGCACTGAAAAATATTTTGCATATTGATTAATCATTTATTTCAAAAACATAACTCATTATGAGATACTTTTTTTAAATTTTATTTTATAACTGGCGTTGAACAGTAGATCCAATTCTGAGTTTGAGGCTATCAATGTTAGGTATTTTTGAACCCAGTGAAGAAGACAAAGGAACTTCAAGATCAAACAAAGGAGTAAAGTAATCATTGCAAAGAACTTTATGATAGAGCCAACCTTCATTTGCTTTAGTGGGAGAGGAAAGCCAGAAAACCTCCCAAGGTTAGCTGAACAAGAAGTGGATCCTAACTAATAATCCGTCTACCACCAAGAATATTTTTCTTCGGTACTGAGGTTGGTGCGAGCCGGGAACAGAATTCAATTCGAGCAGTCACAGCTGGGATTTGAACCTGGATCGCTTCGTGAGTGTTTTAATCCTTATAAGCCATTGCGGTTCAAGAGAAAATACACAAATCTATTTAAAAATATCGATAATATCAGACGATTTATCATTCATCAATCAATCAGTCGACTAAAATTATTATTACAAATTGTATTTATAAAATCAAAACCAGGAATAATTTAAAGTCCTTGATAAACTAAATGTTGAAATCAAGATTTTTTGGCAATCTTTAAATTGTGGAATGAATGAATTATTTTATGAAAATATCGTAAACAATTAAAAAAAGTCCAAGGGCAATGGAGTTTGCATAATAAAGTTGTATGCTTTAAAGCTTTAAGTAAATCAATTGTAAATGTTTAGAGCAATCTATATTATATAAAACGCTAATACGTACGTATGTATGTATGTATCAATAAAACCGATGATATTTCTTTTCTCGCGCTGGCAACAGTTTTCATTTTTAATTGATTGGATTCGGCGCGCAAGAGCACGTAGTGAGCAACCAGATAACAATACCCAGAGTGAGCATTATCAGGTTGTTCAATTCAGATTCATGCACTAAAAACATGACAATATTTAATTTAAACTCAATTAGGAATTAATTAATTAATTGAAGTGATAATGCTTTAAAAGGCCGCTGTTGAATTGATATTTTTCTACTGGGAGCTACCTAAACGTTTAAAAAACGTTTAAGTGTTTGTATTGAATGCATTGAATTTTTTTATATTTCGCGTTTGTTTATGCATTGAATTTTCACGCTTTAAAATGCAGAATATTAGTGAAGCAATATTTGATAATTTATTTTGCTAATATGTTTCTTATTTAACTAATGTTTTGATTTTTTCACCATGTACAATCTAAATAGCTAAAATACTTTTTTAAAAGCCAATAAGAACATTGGTAGAATTCTTCTACATAAGTACAATACTATGTCTTTGATGATAAAATACTATGTCTTTGATGATAATATATTATGTCTTTCTGCTAGAACATTGTGTTCATTGGCGAGCGAGCGCAGCGAGCCATGGTTCACGGCGTGAACAACATAGGATAGCGTAGCAATTCTCGGGGGTTGGCGAGCGTTAGCGAGCAGGGGGCGGAGCCTCCTAGTTTAGAAGTATAAGTACTAAAATAGATTTTCTTTTTTTAAAAAAAAGACACTTTTTGAAGTTTGTGAAAGGTACTTTAATCTGTTTTCACATAACTCTAAGAGCGCTTTATTTTTCTCATTTATAAAAAATTAAACTTAGACAATGGTCAATGTCCTCTCAGATTTAAAATGTAACAAAAAATGATAAGAAACATACGCCTACTTATTCTTAATTTTCACTTACAGATTAAGTAAATTATAAAATTCGTGAAATTTTTCACTTTTATTTGGCAAAAAAAATTTACTTTAAATTTTTTAGACTAGTATGAACTTGATCTTTTAAATATTTTCCCTAAAATAATAAAGATTTGAATATTTTATTAACCTTTCGTACTCGAGGTACTTGCAACGGTTTACCCATTTAAGACAACTATTGCGATAAAGCAACATTTTGTTTCGACGCACAAAGCAGTATAAGAAATGTGATTAAACATTTATGTGCTTAAGTTTTAGAACTTATTGTTTACGCCATAAAATGCGTGGCGACCACATGCTGGATATTGGTGCGAGCTCGGTATTTGGTGCTAAGTGCCACCAACCGATTCATCTTTACTTGGTTATCATGTACTAACAAGTCATGAATATAAACTTATGCTGAGTCGTGGCATGATCTCTTACATCAGAAAGCCTTCACATGGTTTTTAATAAGTAGTCTGTGCAGACTATTTAAAAAGTGAACCAGTGGTGCGCATAAAACCAAATTCTATTTCAAAAGTAATTAAGAGAAAGTTATCATATATGTATATTTGAGAATTGAATCTGCAGTTGTTGACAAGTGAATAAGACAAACCAATCGCAGTCATAAATTTAAAAAAAATTATGAAGTATATTTGCAATCACTTTATTCTTTTTACTAGATATTGTATTAAATGGCTCTTTCGAAGGCTAGTTTACCTTCAATGTGGTGCGATCAGACCCATAAGAAACCGTGTGGAGGCTTTCAATTATAGGAGGCATTAAAAATTTTAATATTTAGACTGGTCGATTATTTAAAGACTACAATGATGTCAGTTAGACGCTGTTCTTGTAAAAGGAGTTAATATTTTTAATAATTTTAAATTGAACTGAGTTTATTATTTATATTTCATAAATTAATTAATTCTCAATGTAAAGAGGAGCAATGATTTCATCAAAAAAACTTTCGACACAGAATGAATTTAAATATTATATGATTTTATATAAGTGGCAAAAATTCAAATTTTTATTGATGCGGTGTAACTGCTGAGTAATGGCTCACATTTCAACCCTTTGCACTCGAGAGGTGACTGCCGGTCACCTCTGTCACCTGTAAATTACCCACCACTCTAAATGTGAAAATGTTTTCACCCTAATGTTTAGTTACCACTTCATTCGGTGATCTTCTGGTATTATAAGGTAAGTTTGTAAAAAATCTTTCAAAATATTAATGGTTGCATCCAATTTTTTTAACAGCTGAAAGAACTTCGAGTGCAAAGGGTTAAAAGTGAAAGAAATTAAAATCAAAATGATATTTTCAATTTCAAGAGCCCCTACATACCTCAGATTTCCACCATTCTCTTCAATGTTATGCTCTAAACCCTCATCCAGAGAAGTCACAAATGACTTTAAGTGAGATCTTTCCAAGCTCTGCCAAACATCATCATCGCTGTATTCATCATTGGGATCTAAATTGGATCTTAATGTACCCGTAAAGAGAACTGGATCCTATTTAATAAAAACAAAACTATTAAATTATTTCACATTTAGAAACATTCGACTATAACAGATGTTATTGTTAATTATTGTGATGTTTAAGGATGTGAATCTTCTGACAATCTTATAATAAAATAATTCCGGCAGTTCAAAGTAAAAAAGCAGAAAATAAAAAATGATTTTTACAAAAGATATTTGCATGATTTGCAAAGATCCTGCAAATATGATTATCATGATATTTGCAGGATGTAAAGAGGCTGACTTGCTGATATCAAAATTAAAAATTACGAAATCAAAATGCGATAGAGGAGTTGAACAAACTGTAAGTATTTCGTGAAAGCTGTAAAAAATTTATATAGATATTATTGAGTTCATTTACACAAATTACTTACAGAGGGCGCTGCAAACAATCGAAAAAAAGAGTGATTAGTGCCAGGGTTAAAATGTGTTGAAGGTTGTTGTTCCAAATTTGAGGCAACAACATGGGCTTCTAGTAATGGAATACCACAAGTTAAATTACTTTCTTACGGCATTTGTGTTTGTAAGAACACTGTATACTTTACAGCACCATCTGTTGGCCACTTGTGTAACTAAATTTCAAACATACGGTGTAAAATGGATGCAACTTTCACAATAGACGCACCGTTTGTTTCATTTCTCCATCAACCTTAGTTTCAGAGATTTCTAATTTTGAAATCAGTGAATTATCCGCCTAAAATCCTGTATATAACTAAATCATTTAATTACTATTTGATTTTTTAAATCTTATAATGGCGTATCTCTATTACGTACTAGAGCATATGGAGACCAACAATATTGAATTAACGTCTCATCAGTTTGACAGCTTGAATTTGCACCACAAGTAAATAGTGTGTTTGTAGTATTTTGTACTTAAACTTTTGACTGTTAAACATTTATATTTTAACACTACGTGGAATAATGACTCGGTTTCATTAATAAATTATTCAGTTTTGTATAGTTATCTTCTATACTGTTTTGCACACACATCAATTTCTTAAAAATTTATTTCTCCAAATCTTTCTAAATTCAATATAACGATCGTAACAAAGAGATTCTTAGATTCAATGATTGGTAAATCATAGAACATTCTAAAAAAATTAAAACATTTTCCCACACAAATCCAAACACATAATCCCACACTAAAACTAAATTTCAGCAATATCCACTGAGAAAATGTTTCTTTCTTTAACTGGAATTTCTTCCACTAATATTTCAAAAGTTTATTATAGTGAAGAAGTACGATGCCTCCAAGATATGACTATGTTAATTATACACAGTCCAGTCACATTAATGTGACCACCTGTCAAAAGCCAGAATAACCACCTTTGGCAGAGTGGACCGCTGTGAGACTTGCAGGAAGAGAGTCAGCAAGGTTTCTGAAGGTGTTCACTGGGATATTGAGCCATGCCGACTTCAGTGCCATGGCCAGCTGCGCTAAATTACGCTGTTGAGGATATGTGGCGCGAGCAACCCGATAGAGGTGGTCCCATAGATTCTCGATTGGGTTTAAATTCGGAGAGTTTGCTGGCCAGCGAGGTACGGTAAACTCATCCTTGTGCTCTTCGTACCACGCACATACACTGTGAGCTGTATGACACCTCGCATTATCCCGCTGGTAGATGCCATCATTCTAAGGAAAAATCATTCGCATAAAGGGGTGGACATGGTCCGCAAGGGCAGATGCGCACTAGTGCTGATCCATCGCTCCTTCCACAATGGTGAGTGCCCCCAGTGAATGCCAGTAAAACATTCCCCAAACCATAATGCTCCCTCCTCCATCCTGGATCCTTTCGGCAATTGTTGCAGGGTTTTTGCTTTCAGACGTTTCATGCTGTATACGCCAGCGTTTATCCGTCCGATGGAGCATAAAAAGCGATTCATCGAATAAAGCCACCTGTCGCCACTCTGTGGACGTCCAGTTGCGGTACTGGCATGCAAATTCCAGCCTTCGTCGCCGATAAACAGCAGTCAGCATAGATGCATTAACCAGGCTTCTGCTACGGAGGCCCATGCGCAGCAACATTCGCTGAACCGTTGTTGAGGATACGCACTTGGTAGCCCCTTGGTTCATCTGGGCGGTCAGTTGCTCAACAGTTGCACGCATATTTACTCGAAAGCGTCTCCGTAGCTTTCCTTCGCCTCTGCCATCTATAGCCCGTGGTGCACCGCATGTGGCACGCCGCTGATTTTGGATAGTGCCATTTTACCATGCACGGTATACTTTCGACACGGTGATACGAAAACAGTTCACAAAATTGGCCGTTTCCGAAATGCTTCCACACTTGGCCCGAAAGCCAATAATCATACCCTTTTGGACGTCGGATAAATCGCTACGTTTTTGCATTACGCCTACGCTTGAGATGCTTTCCGATGCCCTAGGACATCCTTTACATGCACTCTACTGTAATATGCTGCCACCTGCCTTCTGTGATTGGTTATTTCACGTTGACGTCGAAGATAGGGGGTGGTCCCATTAATGTGACTGGACTGTGTATTATTAAAACTAAAACTAATAATTTTTATTCGGAAACCCCTGATTTTTACAAACAAAAGAAGTAAGCTTTAAACTTACCTGAGGAATTATAGTCAATTTTGATCTTAGTTTATGCAGGCCTAGTTTAGAGATATCTACGTCGTCTATAAATATTGTTCCTGTCGCTGGTTCTATAATCCTAAACAAAGCCATGGTGATCGATGACTTTCCAGCACCAGTACGTCCTATTATGCCGACCTAAATGAAAATTAATTTCTCAATACAATTTTAAAAAGATAGCATTTCAAGGATTTATATTTAAATCAAATTCGACTGGGTTATTTTAGAACAGCCCAGATCAACGATGCAAATTAAAATGAACTGAAATGGAAAAAACGAAAACTGTCTCTTACTTTTTCACTTCCGTTTATAGATAGATTAAGGTTTCTCAATACTAAGTCCAGATTCTCTCTGTATCTCGCGCTGTAGTTGTTGAACGAAATCTGACCAATGAATGGCCAATCTTTGTTTTGACAGTCCAAAGGCGTATCCCATGCTGCCTAGATTTCAATAAAGTATGTGAAATTTAAAAAATAAAACATTTTGGGACATAAAAAAACGAGATTTTGTTTTAGTAAATTGAAAAACATTAAAGGAAAATAAAAAATAAAAGGAAGGAGAATGTCATACTTCAGAATCAAGTTTACAGTATTCGTCTACTCTTTCAACTGAGATAGATTTATCTTCAAGAAGACAGCTCAGTCTTACAAACCATTTAATAGCATCGGTAACCTATGGGAAAAATATTTTTAATTACATTATTTTCTTTATAAATATTAATGTTTGTTGTTTCCAAATACTATAAATCATTTTCTTTTGTTGATACGATTTAAAAATATAAGTAGTTTTAAATACACATAAAGATCTCAAGTAAAACTTTTCATGTAATTTTAAATGTTGCAAGAACAATAATCAAACATATTTTAATACTTATTTTATGCATTAATTCGTATCTGCGAAAGACATACAGGACTGATTTTTCAACAAGATTTGCATTAACAGTCATACTGTTTTTTTTAAATGCATAAATTTACACATTGTGTCAGAATATATAAACTCTAGGGAGCATATTTTGACAGTTTAAGTTTAACTGAAAAAAAAGTATTATTTTTCTTAAAAAAAATGTCTTTTGTTTTCACAAAATTTAGTTGTTTACCTCCTGGTCTTTTATTTGGCAGTAATCTGAAATGTGCTATTATGAAAATAGTTTCTGCAGGTTTAAACAAAGAGGCCAATTGCTCAGAATTCGACAAAATATTTTAAAAAAACGGTAGAAGACAAGAAGCTGAAAGTAGAAGATTTTCGGTTAATTTTGCCATCTTTTTAAAAGGCTCATGACAAAGCTGTGACAAAGTAGTATATCACATACTCATATAGGTGTCAACTATTCCGGCCATTGAGATATTTTTTTCTCAGTGGTCGTAATATTAAAATATTTTGCGAAAAAAATCCTTATTTTTAAAATTATAAATGGATTTGTTTTACCTACCACTAAAACTTCCTCTATGGCCTTGGCCCTCTATGGACTCGACTGCCCATAGAGGGTCAAGGCCTACTGTGCCCATCATTACCTACCACTACAAATCAATAATTTATGCCTATTTATATGAGCTAGATTAGTTACAATCATATTTTAAATACAATTTTAACTGTATATTACAATTTAATACTTAGATATATATCTAAGAACGAGTTAGACAAAATTTTACTATCACTTTAAATATAAAATAAAATATTGCACAAAAACTGGTAAAATTAGTATCACCCATGCTTCTCAATCCGAGTTAATAAAACGAACGGTAAATATTTCAATGTTTTGTAGCAAACCGATAATGTAAGCAATTTGGTCTGACTTAATTATTACTGATAGAAAATTATAGTAGCACTTAAGCAATTTTTAAACCATTTTGTCACTGCGTACTCTCAGTACGCAGTGACTCTCAGCAATGTACGCAGTAACGTACTCTCAGCAATGAAAAATATTTTCATCCTAAACCTATTTAAATACGAATGAAATTTTTATTTATTATGATACAAATATTAATTTTTCTTTTAAAATAACAAATTAGCGAAACCAAAAGTATATAACTGTATGTAGATAGCAAAGAAAATAAAGTAAATACGAAATAAACGAACAGAAAATAAATCAATAAATTAAAAACTTCCAAAATAAATAACTGAATCTATTGCAGGATAGGCACAGGTGACAAAAAAATACAAATTCTTGATTAATAGAATCTTCGGAATCTTGATTAAGTTTTATTGAAAGGGATTGATGAGCAAATGAGCAACTTTCAATAGCATATTTTTTAGTTCGTTGATAAAAGTGCCGCCAAATTTTTTTAAAATTTAAGAATGAATAATTTGAATTGTATCTCATAATGCAGTTACGTTCGTTCGTTGTAGTGGAACTGGGAGCCTGTGGCCTTACGGCTCTTTTAATGCAGTTACGAATGGTAGAAATCACATAAATCTCGGTGCGCTGACGCGAAGCGGCATTAACCGATTCATCTGTAGCATACCTGCCAACTTTTAATCTCTTCCATTATCATATTTCCCAGGGGTATTAAAATGAAATTAAAACTTCAATTTTAAGCAAACAAATACGTTGCATTTGAAAAAACTTAAGTTGACAACCATGATAGTACCGCATACCCTCCAACTGCTACGGAATTTCCGTAGTTTCAGAAATCTTCTTTTCAGACGGTATCCTGATTAACATAAAATAAAAAAAAATTTAAAANAATTTTAGCGTAACTTGTCCACTATTACTTATAAAAGTGCATGCCATATGGCTAGATTCTTAAGTTCTGATAAAAGTTTTATGAGAGATCCATTTGCTTTAAAAATTTCTACTTTGGTTCGCTACCACTAGAAAGAATTATTTTCAAAATCCTCATAAGTTGAAGGGTATGGTACCGCATATTAATATATGAGCTTAATTTTTGAAAGAATAGTGGTGATCAAAATCATTTAAAAATTTTTTATAAAAGAAAAAATAGTATATATTTACTACCACTTTAAATATGAAAATAAAATCTTCCGGAAAATCCGGAAGAGTTGAAAGGTATGCTGTAGTCATAAATCGATCATGAGAAGCAGTGAGGAGGAATGGAGATGGGAATGACCGGTCACAAAGTCTATATATATCGAGACGGAAAAGAGTAAAAACTGGTAACAAATAAATTTTTATATTTAGCTTTTTTTCGGGAAAAATAAAATATCCATAAGTATCACATTTTTTTAACAGGTGAAATTTACGAATTGAATTGTTTCTTCCCCAATAAAAAATTGATAGCAGTGAATTGCTTATTCTTAATAGATTTACAACTCCAGGAAATTATCTATTATTGAAATAGTTCTACTACCAGTGTTTTCTTTTTTCCGTCTCTCTTTAATTCCTGAGATATGATTGAATAACTAAAGGGACAACAAAACGTCAAAAAAATTAAGCTTCTGCCTGTTTTCGCAATTTTAGGAGCCATATTCCTTTTTTTTCACAAACATGAGAATATATATATATATATATATATTCATTTTTGTTTTGGCTTTCATTTGGATTTTTTTCATTTTTCAAATGCAAATGTGCAACTATAAGTCTTTCAAAATAGATTGTAGCACTTTTTTATTGTGAAGTTGACTTTAACAAGATCTATTTATGTGTATAATGTATCACAACTTTAAAGAAATGTGGAAATCATTAACATTTATTCTGATAACTTCCAAACCGTTGAGCGAAGTACATTTAAGGGACTCGGGAAACTACGCCTTCGCAACTGAAATAATTCTTTTAATGCACAAAGAGTCATTAAATTGTGCCGAAAGTGTTAAAGATTTAACGGGGGAGGTTGCTTTTAAGAACCCTTTCAAGCCCATTTTATTAGGATAGTTGAAACGAGAAAAGTTATTTTCTCGAAAAGTCATGAAACTAACACTTTAACCGCAAGGCAATTTAGACTTTAAGAGCCTTTTTACAACTATGATTAAAATAGTCAAAATAATGTCTTAACATATTAAATGCGCTTGTTACTTTGTGTTTAAACAACTGTTATGAAAATAGCTTGTACTCAACTTTATGATTTATTAATTACAAATAAGAGCGAGATATTTAACGTTTAAGATATTTATTACTTTGGGATAGACAGTTATTTATAAAGTTTAGATAAAGGCTGCAAATTTTCGAGACACATAAAGTACAGACAGAAAAAACATATGATAACTACATTCATTAAAAAAAACTGTTAACTATTTACCATCACAAAGAAGGTTAACCATTTCTTCATTAAAAGTTAACCCTCTTCCAAAGAAGGATTGTTTTTAATCGTTTCACATTTTAAATTTTTGGAAAAGTGGCCACTGTTTCAACAAGTGACCACTGTTAAAAATGTTACAACTGGCAACTAGTAAATTCTTAGTTACCCT